CCCAATTTTGTTTGTCACAACACAAGAACGAGGAACGCCGTCGACCTGTCGCAACCGTTTAAACAAGCGACAACGTTACAATAATGTAACAGGGTGTTGCTAGGCAACCCTTAAACTCTGTACTGCCTCAAGTAGCTCATTGCTTTTATAATACGGTTACCAGGTAAATTATAAATAGTAAGTAAATAGCTGCAGCTCAAAATAGTTGTGTATCTCATTTCAGTGAGAAAATAGTCCCCCCGTGCATGTAAACAGCATCGGGTCTCCTTGCAACATCTCGCAGCATCTCGTTCATTCACACTGTCCATTATCAATATTATTACTGTACATTATCGCTGAATAATGCACCCGCCGTGACGCCTCTCAGCCAATCAGAACGCTGGGTTTCACCTGCCCGTATTATGATGTCTGAGATCTGAGGGTCTGACGTCGCCGCACCGTGTGCTTCAAAAACACTTTGGCAGAGCAGGTCGGGCCGAACGGCGTGATGGGCCCACCGGGCGGGGGGGGGGGGGGGGCAGTTTGATCCCATAAAAGCCTTCCGTCCAGCCGGCGTAGAGGAACCCGACCATCCACAGCCTGGTTGGCGTGTTAGAGTAGCAGCACACACCCGCGTTTCTTGGCAGGCGGGGGCCCGTTTCCTCTCAACGCAATGCCGATACCAAACGCAGCCACTGGGAACACGCGTGCCAAACGGGCTCCGGGGACTCAACATGCCGACCGTCCGACCAGCAATCGAGACAATCGATGCCAGATGGATAATAGTGGAAGGATGAGCTCAGTTTTCAAGAAGAAGAAGAAGAAGAGCGTTTCCACGGGACTCGCCAGACCGGCAGCGCGTTGCCACGGGCCTCCGCGGTGCGTGCCGAGGGGGGCCGCGCTCCCCTCGCCAGACCCTGTTGTTATTTGCTGCTGTTGATGGAAACTTTTATGAAGCCCGGCTTCGAGTTTCACCGCAAAACCCAAACGAGCGGAGGCCAAAGCGCAGAGCGAATGCACGGTTCGATCGCACAAAGTCCACGACGCCCCCACGAGCCAATCAGCAATCGATATAAGATGTGAAGGCGGGTGGACCGGATGCCTCCTGAGTTCAGTTAGTTTCACCACAGAAGTCAACCAGAGTGCAGCTGGACAAGGAGGGCGGCATCACGGCCTGTCTTTATCCCTAATTACAAACTGCGGCAGAGGTCAGCTGAAACGCAGCGACCTCCCGATCCTCGCCAACGCCAGACGGAAAAGGCATCGGGTATGAAGTGAGCCGTATATTTATTCCCACCACAGCTGGCCTCATTACGGACATGTTCCGCGGTGCCACTGGCCTCCTTTACCTGCCCTGCAGGTGTGCAGCGGCGTGATTTACCTGCCCGACGAGACGTTCCCCTTCATTAAAACCAGGAACAACTTTGCGTGCGACTAAATGTGGCCGACTCAAACACGGGATTTCTCTTTTAAAAGTGCAACATGCAAAAACGTGGCCGGATTGCGGCGACGGGGGTCGGCGCCAATCTGCAAACTGTTGATGTGATGAACAATAATAGACTCCTGTCATCCATCGTCCATCCGTTTCTGCCGCTTTGGATGAAATCCAGTGAGTAATCAAAGCGCGCACGGACCGGCGTCTGTTTAGTGTCGCTGTAAACTCGCCCGACGTAAACCACAGGCGCTGAGACAACAACGCAGCGGCGATGTTCCGACGCGGCGCTCCACTTTCAGCTGAATTCCCGGCCTGCTGTTGGTGTTTTAACTTTCCGTTCCTTTGGATTACATGGAGCGAGTACAGAGTGAATCCACAACCGTCTTAACATTATTAATCCATAATAAGTCAAACCGTTGCTTCAGTCTACTTCTACATTGACGACAGCTGCAGCAAAAAGTACCGTCCTGTAGTTAAAGGTTTAACATTTAGCATAAATCAGTTGAGTGAAACACGGTTCGAGGTGTTTGACTCCATAATAGTAAATGACACTGGATGTTCGACGCCTGCATGAAGCCACAATAGAGAACGATGAATATCTGCATCTCTGGATCTCTGTGCTCAACGTTCTCCTACTTTCCAATAAACATTCCACTTGACGCCAGAGGAGGATGATGAATCCTGTTCGGTACGGATGATGACGGCGCTCCCTCAATGGGGGCACAGGGTCAGGGGTCGGAGTTCGCTGGAATGCTCTGGACAGCGGACAGCTGTCGATAGCTTTTCTCCAAAGATATTTCAACCAAAAAGGGGGAGGGGTTTATTCATGATGCATCGACCTCAGTGTCAAAATGATAAATATATATACTGTATATTTCAGTTTGAATTGAAAAACTGTGTGTGTGTGTGTGTGTGTGTGTGTGTGTGAGAGACAAAAGCGGAAATATTGACACGTGCAGCAGCTGAGCAACAAAGACACACATCATGCAACTCATAGGAATGCACACACACACACACACACAGACACACACACACACACAAATATCCCCAGTAAATAACAACTCATTCATTCTTCGGCCCCATCAGATGTTGTTTTGAGAGCAGAGATTAAAAAAAAAAATGAAAGACATAAATTATAAATGTACACGTTAATTAAACCACACGACTCACTCCAGCTC